AGCATGCTCACGACACCCACGTAATGCCCACCGTTCGGGAGATAATGAAGTGATCAGATTTAAATGACAGATCAATGCACGAAAGAGAGAGCGACAGCAAAGGCTAGGCAGGAAAGGTGCAGCGAGCTGGCCTTTTCTTATAGCTTGCACATCATTTCGCTAAAAACCTCTCCACACACACACATCCTAGACCTTTGATAGTGACATTTGAAGAAGGACAGCTGAGTGCATTTAGTTCTACCTTCCTCGGAAGACACGAGCGACGGGATTGTGCCCCCTTCTCTCTGAAAGAAACACTCTATTTCCTTTCAGTCCAGAGAGCGGAGGGCTCTACAATGAAAACCACAACAAAATCCAGCCGAAAAGCCTCCTTGGTCACGGAGCGCCTGGCGCGACGTAACACGAACCGCGAGATTCAGAAATATGTACAGCGCACGACGTCAAACTCACCTGTACCGACAACAAAAGCATGACTGACGGATGTTTTGGGATGGCAGGGGACCGTCAAAGCTAAGGTTACATCGGCCCATTCATTTTGTATAAGGCCCTGCTTGGGTTAGCACATACAAAGGGAAAGCAACAATCGGGAGGCCATTGTACCGGAGATGGCATTGAGTGGAGACTGACAGCGTGATTCTTTAGCCCTCTGAAGGAGAGCTTCATTAGAGACGTGGCTACTCGCCGCCACTGCCTCATACTGAGGTGATGGATTACTTTCAGAGCCCAAGCCGCACAAGGGAAATTAGCTCAGATCAACTATGGTTTTTCCCATTAAAAAAACATATTAGCCATAATAGGCTCCTCAGTTTGTATGAAAAAAGCCGAGGCGTCCTTTTTTGCTTCAGTCCCCTCTCGTTTTCTTTAAGTAGCCGAATCCGTTTCCGCACGCACTTATACATTTACTTAAGATTCCAGAGAAGTGGGAGCAAGTGAGAGAAAGAAAAAAAGGTGAGAGTACCATTCCTATTTATCTCCGGTCAGGAGTCTAGCTGGAAAATAATGGGCCCGGTGTTGAATAGAAATCCTTTATTAAGGCCAGTTAAATTATGCTCTTCAGTTTAGGATGGCTGCGTTTCACCAGGCACAATTAGAAAAACCAAACGCAACATGCAGAGAAAAGAGCTCGGTGTCCAGCCAAGAGGAGCGAGCATTCAATTCAGCTCCTGTAACATGTGAATTAAGACTAATGTCCAATTATACTGTCGCCACCATTTGTCTAAAGATGATTCAATGGAGAGAGAGAAATCTTTTTCCTTTGAAAAATGTGCATAGATCATAACCCCGGGGATTTGTCATGCTTGTAAAACTTTATTACGATCATTCTTGGAAGGCGAAAATCAATTGTCTCCATTTTTTGGATTGTTGAGCATGTTATAGGGATCTTTAAAGGCTCGGGGATATGACAGTTAGGACGTCAGATGGATTCGTCATGTCTCACTAATGGAGAGACCTGAAATAGCTGGTCAGGCAGATGACGAGATGTTCAGTTAATAGATAGTACTTTTTTCCTTCTCTGCTCAGGTGTGGAACATGTATTGGGGAAAGAAAACAATAAAAAAAATGCATTAGGGCAGCCGATTATGGAGCTGAGATGGCAGATAATGATGTCAGTTAGCTTAGAAATCTTGTCAGAGACGTGTTCGGCTCACATTCAGATGTTTAAATGAAAATGTTCCACAGCAGATGTGGAACGCTGATAATCACTAATTGCAAAAAAAAAACCCAAATAAATAAAATTATTCAACCAGTAACTACGAAAGCACCTTTTTCCATCTGAAGCGATAAATCCCCAGAGAGTTCAGGTATGAATTGGTTTTCGATTTTTGGAAAACAAAAACTTAAAAGTAAATACTGAAGGTTTACATCAGGGGTCTCCAAACTTGGTCCTGGAGGGCCGGTGTCCTGCAGAGTTTATCTCCAGCCCTAATTAAACACACCTGAACCAACCAATCACGGTCTTATGCTGCTTTCACGTGCTATCGGAAATGTCCTATTTCCCACATATGAAGTCGTGATTACGAGCTTGTCGTATTCAAGTGCTTTAATGTCGGAAAGAATAAAATGTAGCATCCCATTGGTTGACTATCATAAGGATGTAGTTGTTGTGAGAACAGCATTGACAGCAGCAGTGGTTTATGACCCGCCCAATTCGGAAACTCTGGTATCAAAATTATTTCAGAATTTCCCAGTAGTAAATACGACTTGAGAGGCCGTTCATGTCCAATTTCCGATTAGGAAACTTGTATTTATGATAATTCTGATAGCATGTGAAGGCAGCATTACTAGGCATACTAGAAACTTCCAGGCAGGTGTGTTGAGGCAAGTAGTATGCTTAATTAGCTGGTTCAGGTGTGTTTGATTAGGGTTGGAGCTTACATCTGCAGGACACCGGCCCTCCAGAACCGAGTTTGGACACCCCTGGTTTACATGAAAGAACGGAAAAGGGGCAAGACTGAACATTTAATAAGCAATCTGTTTTTGTTCCTTAGTGAAAAAGAAAACACGTACCAAAAAAGTCAGTTTTTGTATTATATATTTATGCAATTATATATACATTATTTATTGAATTGTTATATAATTAAATTGATATTATAAAAACTATATATTTTAATAATTATTAAATATAATAGAACAATAAAAATGGAAAAAAATGTGCAGCCCATTTTGTTCTTTTGAGACTAAAAGTTTTAACTTTTACTGATCCACACACCCTGAGTTGTCCTGAGCGCCTTGATTTTTTGATAACAGAGAGG